AATAAAAGGGTAGTGCACTCCCAATTAGGCAGGTCCTTGACCATACCCAAAAGTCATCATAGTAATCCCTGACTACCCCTCCAACTAATCCAAACTCATCCATTAATTATTAGTTATGGTGAAATATGAAAGACATTATTATAATAATAATTAATGCACCCAAATACCTTTTAAATTAACTTTTTTTTTAAAAAAAAAAAAAAAAAAAAAGAAGAAGCATTACACTAAAGACCCAATTAGTAAGAGTATAAAAATTCTTAACACAACCTAACACTAGGAATAAGTCCCTGTAAAATTATTGTTTTCCATACTCTCCATTATAGTACTGAAAAAAAATAATCTGTATATATATATATCAGATTTTAAATTGGTAAAACTACCTCATCATCATTTCAAAATCAGCAAGTCCTCACAATTTAAGCTTATAACATTTAAATCTAATTTTCTGAAAAGGTATCATAATTATTGAGAACTTAATAATATTTTCCTCCAATTTTTCTGACTTTTAAATACTAACAAAATATATAAAAATAATAATTAATTAAATGATTTAAAGCAAAAACAACCTGTTCCAAATTTCACTACCAGTCACTATTAATCACTGTTCCAACTTGAATCCCATTGTTTCCACTATTATATCATGGCTTCATTTATACATTCACCCATCTAGTTTATTAAACTAGAATTTTCAAAGAAAGTATAAAAGTCAATGGACCCACCATATAATTCATGGGGTAATTACACTTACCTCCCCTGGGGTTAGGCCTAATTACAGGCGGTACCCCTAACGTTTCAAATATTACACTGACCTCCCCCAAACTGATCGACATTTTATTCCGGCCATTGACCATGTTAAATGACTAAAACACCCTTCAATATTTAATTAATATCACATAAAGAATATCTTTGATTTGAAATTACTAATTTGTCCCTAATGGTTTTGGAGGGAAAAAAACTGACGGCTAAGTCCCATCATCTGCAACCCTTTCATTTCACTCATTATATCAGGCAACCCATTTATTTCCTTTTTTTATATCACATAACCATTTTATTTCCTTTACACATCTCACACAGCCGGTTCGAGAGAGCAATAGAAGAAAGAGATGGAGAAGCACAGAGGTGAAGAGTTTGATGCGTTGCCTTTCAAACCCTAGATTTGTAAAGACTTTGATCTTCTGTTCTCTTTGCTAGCTGTTACAGAACCCATAATCGTCCAACAAGTAGGCATCGGTGTAATATTTCTTCAGAAGCACGCATCGCTGGTGAAGGTAAGCCTAATTTTTTGAAAAAAATTAGGGGTTTTGCTATTCTTGTTGAGGTCTTAGGGTTTTTGTTTTAAAGATATATAATAGGTTCCTGTTCATTGCTATTTTGTTATGCATGTCTATTTTCCCAGTGATTTTTAGAGTTTTTGTTATAGTTTTTCGTGGTTCGGTTCTTTTCTAATATATATATATATATATATATATATTACCTAATTTGTATTCTGATTTTGCCATATTAATATGTAACGAGTATAGTTGTTTATAGTATGAAATATATATATATTTTTTTGGAATCTGGATTTTTTTTATATGCATCGTAATTTTTTTTTTTTGACTCTGGATATTGTTGGATAGGTTCTTCGACAAGACATAATTAACACTTATATCTGGTATGTAATTATTGTCAGAGATTTTTTTTTCGTATCAACACTTATATCAGTTGTTGGATAGGTTTTTTTTTTATATGCATCCTAATTTTTTTATTTTTTTTTATTTATATTTTTTTTTTTATGCAACGTTGTTTCATAATCTGGATTTTTTTTTTCTTGTTTACAGTATAGTTGTTCACAGTGTTTGGTTTCTAAAATTTTAGTAAAAATTACCATATTGAAATAATTTAGTGAAAAATCATTATATATATAGAATTTTTTTTTCTATATTGATATGTGTTGAGATTACCATATTGAAATAATTTAGTCAAAATTCATAACATATATAGAATTTTTTTTTTCTAAATGTTTTTTGTATTCTATATATATAATGAATTTTGACTAAATTATTTCTATATATTTTATTTTAGATTACCATATATATAATGAATTTCCACTTACTGGATTTTTTTTTATAATTATCCTAATGTTTTTGTGTTTTGATTTTTCCATATTAATATGTGTTAGACTGAGAAAATTGTGCTGTTATTTTGAAATATGCATGTGATTTTGTTATATGTATTCTAATGTTTTTTCTTATGTGGTATAAACAGATGGCAGATTCTGAATTGCATGACATTATTGTGCACTACAAGTCCACTGTGAAAGGAATTTATAATATTGACCCTGATAGGTACTGTTTTATTGATTTGATGGATGATGTTTTACAAGTGTCTTTAAAAAATTTACCTGCACAATTAGGAGTCTCAATTATCATGCATTGTGATTTGCCTGGGAGTAATGAGAAAATGGTAGTACAGAGTGATGCTGATATGTTACAAATGTTTAGCTTGCATACTAATCCTTATAAAAAATTTGTTCATGTTCATGTTGAGTTAGAAACTGTTGAAAATTTAAACATGGTATATGAGAAGAATGGTGCTGTGAGGAATGATGAAAGGGATGGTTGTCCAAGGGGTGCTCATGTAAGTGGTGGTGAGAGGGATGGTGGTGAGAGGGGTGGTAGGGTAAGGGATGGTGATGAGGAAGATGAGGATGATGGAGATTATATATTTGGTTTCAGTTCAGAAGATGAGGAATAGGAAGATGAAAATGAAGGGTATTCTAGTGATAGTGGACTAGTAGATGAAGGTACTATGGGGGGAGTTCAAATAAGTAGTGATGATGGTTTGTCAAATTATGGGTCAGGGGATGAATGTGGATCAGAATCAAGTATTGAAATATTGGGTGATACTGATAAAGAAGATAGGGCTAAGGGTAAAGCATTTGATCAATGTTTGTTTGGGATAGAATTTCATAGAGTTCCAGGACAAAAGATAGAGCTAGTAAAAGGTCTCCTATTTGACAATATTAAGAAATTTAGGGAAGTGTTGAGGGATTATGCAATTCAAGAGTGTTTTAAAATGGTTAGGAAAAAAAAATGAAAAAGCTAAAATAAGATGTCATTGTGCTGCTACAAGTTGCCCATGGATGATACATGCATCACCTCTCTTTAATAAAATCACCTATCAGATTAAAACAATAAACAAAGAGCATACTTGTGTGAAGGAGAGCACTTCTAGGGAAGCAACATCAACATAGATTGCTATGAAGTTTGCAGATAGGATAAGAGAGAATTCGGAGATTAAAATAGCATCTTTGGGAGTTGCAGTGAATTCACAATATGGAATTGAACCTAGTAGAATGCAGTTGTATAGGGCAAATAGGAAGGCACTAGAGGAAATTGGGGGTAATCATGCTGAAGCTTACACATTACTTCCAGCTTATGCAAATGAAATTGATAAAACAAATCCAGGAAGCTTGGCTAAAATTAAGAGGTTTAGGGCAAATTTGTTTGTGAACCCAGTCTTTAGCAGAATTTTCATCTGTTTTGAGGCACTGGCCACTGGTTTGAAGAAAGGATGTAGACCATTTATTGGTCTAGATGGCTGCCATTTGAAAGGACCCTATGGTGGTGTTCTACTTGCAGCCACTGCACTAGATGGCAACAATGGCCTTTTCCCAGTGGCCTATGGTGTTGTGGAAAGTGAAGGAAGGGAAAGTTGGGGTTTTTTTCTAACACATCTGCAGACTATGATTGGTAAAGATTTTGAGGACAACCCATGGACTTTCATGTCTGACCAACAGAAGGTATTTTTATATTGAATGTTTTTTAATTTTTATTTTATTGTCTTTGGTAAATTTAATTGTTGACACTGTTTTTACTATTTTATATAGGGACTGGATTCTGCAATTTCTTATATCTTTCCTAAGGCCCACCATAGATATTGCTGCAGACATTTATTTAATAACTTTAAAAAGAAGTACCTTGGTTTGTTGTTAAGGAAGTACTTTTGGAGGGCTGCAAGAGCTTACAACCAAGCTGACTTTGATATTGCCATGGGGCATTTGAGGAATCTTACAGAAGAAGGGTATAATAATTTGATGGAATTGCCTGTATCATCATGGTCTAGGCATGGGTTTGATGAAAATGTGAAAAATGATCATGTCACAAACAATTAAAGTGAATCATTCAACAATTGGGTTGGTGCACAAAGAAATAATACAATTCTGAACATGTTGGAATGGATTAGGATGCAATTGATGGGTAGGATTCAAAAGAGGTATGAGGTGGCATGCAGTTGGCAAACAGTGGTGACTCCTAACATTAGGAAGAGGTTGAACCAACTCATAGAGGAATCTAGACAATGTAGTGTCATCTTTGCTGGAGCGGATGAATATGAAATAATGGATGAAACTGGTAGAACTGTGGTAGACCTTGGTGCTAGGACTTGTGTATGTAGGGCATGGCAAATTTCTGGCCTCCCCTGCAAGCATGCAGCTGCTGCAATGGCTTACAAGAGAATGAATATTGAGCTATTTTGTGATGAAAAATTTAGTAAGCATGCTTATTTGGAAGCTCATGGGGGAATGATACATCCCATAGTTGACTCAAAACTATGGCCACCTGCTCATGGTGATCCACTTGATCCTCCTCCACCTTATAGAAGGCCTGGTAAGCCAAAGAAAAATAGAAGAAGAGATGCAGATGAACTTGCAGCAGGGACTAGTCAAGTGAGAAGGTCAATGACCATAAGATGCATGATTTGCAAGGCTCTTGGACATAACAAAAGAATATGTCCAAAAAATACAAATAAGGTCCAGAAGGGAAGTTCTTCAAAAGCTGTAAATGCAAGTGGTCCAGAGGGAAGTTCAAGCACATCTCAGGTAATTTAATTATCTGGTTTAATTTAATTCAGTTTTTTTTTTAATAAAAACTGAATTAGTCCATGCCATTTATTCTTATGTTTTGTTTATTTTTTAATATCAGAGAGTTAGGAGGGGGGGGGGGGGGGGGGGGGGGGGGGTTTATCACAGTCCTTGGGTCCAAGCAGTTCTCAACCCCAACTTGGTAGCGGCACAACTCAAATGGTAACTTTTTAGTTTTTTATTTTTTTCATTTATAGATTTACTTTATTGGTCATACAATTATTTGAAATTGTTGTGATTGTTTGACTCAAGCAGTTAGAGGTGGGAGGAGGGGTGGTATAAGCAGTTCTCAACCCCAAGGTGCTACATGGAGTTTTGGTGCAAGCAGTTCTCAGCCCCAACTTGGTAGAGGGACAACTCAAATGGTAATTTTTTTTTTTTTTTTTTTTTTTCATTTTTTCATTTATAGATTTACTTTATTGGCCATATAGCTATTTGAAATTGTTGTGTTTGTTTGACTTAGGCAGTTAGAGGTGGGAGGGGTGCGTCTATGTCTTAGCCCCAACTTGGTAGTGGTACCTCTTCTGACATGGTAAATTATAGTGTCATGTAAATTTTAGTTATATATTTCATTTTTTTTTTTTTTTTTTTTTTTGAACTCCATTTATTTGTTTTCCACAGGCAATGTGGTAACTGTCATGCTGTTTCAATCCTTTTGGCCTCCCCTGAAGAATGTTTTTTGTGTTCTTATTTGGAGCATATGTGGATAACTACCTGTCACTTTTGATGTTACTATTTTGTTTTGATGGCATGTGGACAAATGTTTGCTCATAGTTAGAGTTGCATTTAGAGCATATGTGGATAACCTATTACTTTTGGGAAACTTTGCTTGCTACCTGTTGACAATTTTTGGGATATTGTTGGATAGGTTCTTGGACAGGATATAATTACATACTTATACTCATGGGTCTTGGGTAAACTTTTGGTTGTTTTGTGTATGTAATGAAGTGGAGACAGTTGGATTGAACTATATATAAGCTTTTGGTTATTTTTTGCATGCCACTGTGTTTTGCAATGGAGTTCATACTATATAAGCTTTTGATTATTTTTGCATGCCACTGTGTTTTGCAATGGAGTTCATACTATATAACTTTTATATTTCTTCTTAATAGACTTATATTGGTTCTAGTTTATATGGAATACATAAGTGTCATATTTCTTCAAAAACAGACTTACATTGCTTCTAGCTCATATGAACACATAAATGTCATATTTTTTCTTAACACAGTACAAACTTAATAGCTACTAAAATGTTTTTAACAAGGCTAAGAAAGACAACAACAAAGCTGCAATAATGAACATCTTCATTTGTCCATTTTTTGCTTCAATCAGATCCAACCGCCTATTTATCGCTTCATATTGGTCTCTCAGATAAGCAGCATCATCATTCGGTTGAACTTCACCATCTTGATTTGTAGATGATTCATAACCACCTATTGTACCAATGGGGTTGCACCACTCCCATAATGAACATTTTTTTCTTTCACATGTATAATACAACTTCCCTTTGTTGTGATAAGTGTCGTAAATTGTAACCCTTATTGCAGCTGTTACACCACAATAACAAGTCATACTATTGTACCTCAAATTCCTTGGAGCATTGCCTCTTGCAATATTTGAGCTTGACTGTGACATCTGGTTAAGTAATAATAAAAAGGAAAAATAAAATAATTAAATAAAATCACAAAATATGAGAGATGGAGGGCAAAACTGTAACTATATATATATATATATATATATATATATATATATATATAGCAGACCTTGAAGGAGACCTTAAAGGAGAACAGACCTTGAAGGAGTAGCAAATCTTGAAGTACCAGTTCTTATGTGGAGGGAGAACCTTGAGGGATTAGCTTCACGTAGAGAAATTTTAGAGAGAGAATTGTTAGAGAGAGAAAGAATGTAGTATTATGTAGAGAGACTGTGGGCTTATAAAGAAATCTACAAGGGCTTTTTTGTCTTTTTATTCTAGGTATATAGGTTATTTTAATACAAAAGTAAGGGTAAAAATGTCTTTGCAAATATAGTAAGGGCAAATGTGGTATTACATGGTTAAAAAGTGCTGATGTCATCAAAAATCATCATTAACCGGCGTTGACTTTCACCGGAGGGGGCTAAGTGTTACGACGGAGCAAATCTTGAGGGAGGGCGGTGTAATATTTGAAACGTTAGGGGTACCGCCTGTAATTAGGCCTAACCCCAAGGGAGGTAAGTGTAATTACCCCTATAATTCATGTCTCTCAATTTACATCTAATTCCCAACTGACCTAGTAAACTAAAACAAATACAACTAACATTCTGTGCCTTGATTTGGTTCATCAATAAAGTCATGGTATCAAGTAGTTACCTACCAGGATTATATTTATATACAAATAATATATATACAAAGCTTATATATATATATATATATATACACATATCCTAACCATCTGTTCCTACGTTTCTAGTTACTTATTTACATAATGAAATAAGAAGAGTTCAAAGATAAGATTTATATTTACTCAGTGACTATTAATTAAATCTAATAATAAAAAGAATCAGTCAAGAATCTTTAGGAATGGATTATAAAGGTAATGGATTATAATAAGTCCAATTTATACATCCAAAGCTAAACATAACGTGATCAAATAAGAATTCGATAGATGCTTCACACACATACACGTCACAAATATATCCCCTAATCTAAGTTATAACAGTACAATTACAATTGGGTTCTATGATCAATTATACCCATATGCTCTAATAAGGAAACAAATTTTTGCAATTCTATGCATATAAGTTCTCTAAGAAATTAATATATCCAAGTTACGAATATATATAAAATTACAAAGCAAGATTAATTTGCCTGAGGTATAATTAATTCTTCCTTCCTACGCGAATTCCCGATTATCGTTCCTTCCCTCGGTTATTGCAGAAAGACACGATGTCAGATCACTCTCTCTGGTCCCTTCCTCTCCCGTTATCGTGCTAATATTTTTTTTTTTTAAAAAAAAAAATCGCAGTGAAGAGTTATAGAGATATAGGGAGTCAGGTGAGATAATATAGCGATTTATTTTTTAAAAAAATTTAAATTAGTTAACCAACTCTATCACAATATCCTGTTTAAATTCAAACAGAGATAACAATTAAATTAAATTAAATTAATAAATATATGTATATGATATATTTTTTTTACACGGGTCTTACAAATTTATTATCAATTTCTTGTCTATTCAGTATGGGTCATTTCGAATTAACACTATGAAGACAAGTGGAAAGTGATTTAATTGACCATTATATTAATTTAGGAGGAGACAAGACTTAAGTAGTAAGGTAATCATTATGTTTATCTGATGACTCAAGAAGTTAGAAAAAAATTTGGGAATAAGCCTGAAAAGGCATTAAGTGAGCAACACCTAATATTAAAAGCTTTAGGTCAATCTACTAAAAGAAAGGAATGTAATACTGTAAAAGTGTCATTTATGTATTGAATTTTTTTATAAAGATTACATGAAATATAAAGAACGATTCGAAAAAAAATGATAAATCTTTTAACTTTTGTATATTTCGAATCACTTATTGATATTCCTTCTAAAACATGATAGGTTGACTTAAATACTAATATTTATGTTTCTAATAGATGTAAGGATCTCTTATGGCCTAAACCACAAATTCAAATGAAAATTTCTTATCTATGAGAATTGGGAAAAAGTTTTGTTAAAACTATTGAGATATTTTATTTAGTCTTAGACAATATATTTTATTTAAATTGTTTTAAACTATTTATATTTCTTCAATTATCTCAATTTGATTTTATTTCAAAACTTTATGTTAATGATTTTTCCTTTTAAGTTTGATAATGATGTTTATTCAAGAAAATCTAATTTGTGAGTTATGGTATTATTGTTGATGATTTCTGTAAATTCAAACTTGATAATTTATTTATTAAAACCCTTTTGACCTTGCATCATAATGTTATAATTAAGTATAGCTCAATTAATGAAAATTCATTTATCTTGTGGCATAAAAAATTGGATAAGATTCAGTAAAAAGTTAGGAAAATTAATAAAGGATGCGATTCTTCTATATCTAAACTTTACTGATTTTGGTGTGTGTGTGTGTGTAGATTGTAGTAAAGGTAAACAAACCAAACACACAAAGAAATGAGTCACAATAAGTACATAACTTCATGAAATTATTCAAACAGATATTTGTAGACCTTCTGATGTTCCATCTTTTGGTGGAGAAAAATATTTTATCGCCTTTATTGTAGATTTTTTCATGTTATGGATATATCTATTTGTTGTGTGAAAAATCTCAAGTAGTGGGTACTCTTTAATTATACATAAAAGAAGTTGAAAAACAACTAGATAAAAAAGTGAAAATCATAAGGTCATACAAAGGTGGTGAATATTATGGAAAGTATGGTGAAACGGGTTAATACTCTAACCATTTGCTAAACTCCTTGGAATGTATGGCATTTGTGTTCAATACACTATGCTAGGCATACCGCAGTAGAAACGTGTAGTTGAAAGGCGTAATCATACTCTTATGGATATGGTTAGGAGTATGTTAAGTAATTCCTCGTTACCCATAATGTTGTGAATGTTAAGTAATCTAAAGGGTACATGTTTTACTATCCTAAACATAGTATGATAATTATTGAAACCGGTAAGATCAGATTCATTGAGAATGGTGAAATCAGTGGGAATGATAAAAATAAGAATGTGATCATTCCAAAAGTTAGGGTACAAATCTCTTTATCTATAACTTTTAAGGAAATAATTGTTCCTTCAGTTGTTGAACAGTATAACAACGAAGAACAATTGAATGATCAACAACTTTGTAATGAGATTGTCACCAATGAATAGATTGTAAAAGAATTATAAAGAATAACATTAAGGCGATCTCAAAGAGAAAGGAGATCTGTTATTCTGGATGACTATGTGATATATCTGCAAGAATCTGATTTTGATATATAGTGAGATACATACAGATCCAGTTACATATTTATAAGCCATTAATAGTAATGATTTTACTAAATAGATTAGTGCTATGAATGAAGAGATTATAAAGAAATCTTCTCTCAAGTATCTAAGAAGGAATCTTTTAAAATATCATGGCATTAGTAACTTATTATGATTTAGAGTTACATTAAATTGATGTGAATACAACTTTTATGAATGGGAGTTTATAAGAGGAAGCCATTAACAGTAATGATTTTACTAAATGGATTAGTGCCATGAATGAAGAGATTATAAAGAAACATTTTCTCCAGTATCTACGAAGGAATCTTTTAAAATATCATGACATTAGTAGCTTATTATGATTTAGAGTTACATCAAATTGATGTGAATATAACTTTATGAATGAGAGTTTATAAGAGGAAGTCCATATGGAACAACCTGAAGGCTTTACATTAGAGAGTAAAGAATTCATGGTCTGTAAACTTAAGTTGTCAATATATGGTTTTAAACAAGCTTTCTAACAATGGCATATTAAGGTTTATGATACCATTATATTTTTTTAGTTTTAAGGAAAACATTGTTAATCAGTGTATATACTAGAAGGTTAGTGGGAGTAAGTTTAAATTTATGATTCTATATATTGATGATATTTTATTTGCTAGTAGTGATCTTACTTTATTATGTAAAACAAAAAGTTATCTATAAGAATTTTGAAATAAAAGATATGGATGAGGCATCCTACGTGATAGGAATAAAAATATTTCATGATAGATCACGTGAATTTTTAACATTGTCTCAAAAAACATACATTGAAAGAGTTCTAGAAAGATTTAGTATGGAATATTATTCAACCAATATTGTTCCATACATAAAAGGGAATAAATTCAGTTTAATGTAATTCCAAAGAATGAGTTACCTAGAAGGTAAAGAAACGAAAAATATTCCTTATGCATATATTGTGGAGTTTGATGTATATATAAGTTGGTAGGGGATAAAAGATTATATACTCACACTTAGGAAGACATTTTTAATTGGTTATTTGTTCCTTTTGGCTGGAGGAACAATATTATGAAAAAGTGTAAAGTAATTTATTATTAT